CTGGTTGAGAGCCCCTGTCGGGATCAGAAGGTTTTCCTCCTCTTGGACTCTGTGTGTTTTTTGCTCAGCATCTTGCCTCCACCACCCCATGCCCACACCCACTCACCAGCTCAGCCTCCCACGGTGCTCTCACCCAGCGCTCTGGGTCCACCGAGGCACGTCGGGCGGGTGTCCACTCTGGCTAGACCGGTTACAGGTGTGACCATCTAGACTCTGGGCTCACCCCCGGCTGAGGGGGCAGGTCTCCTCTCATTTGCTTAGCGACCGCCTCCCCTCATTTGCATGATCTTTTCCTGGACAGATCCCACTTCCTAACCCCAACGCTGCTTGGTACGCGGCCCACAAGCAGCTATAAAAGGAGTCAGGGTCCCGAGCGACTTCCAAACGCAGAGCAAACCCGCAGAGCCGAGAAGGTGGCTGTGAGAAACAATTCCGTTTTCCCGCCTACCCGATTCCTCCCGGGTCAACCCCGAGCATTGAGGGCAGCGCTTCCAACTCCTTGGGTCTTGCCTTAGCACGCGAGGGGCGGGGTACAGAAAAGTGGAACTCAGGCTCCGACGCCCCAGCTCAAGCAGGCTCCGCTCCCGGCTTACCCGCCTGACAACAGCGCCCGCCGGTCCTTGTTACAACATGACCCTCTGGGATGGCGAGCTGCCATTCTACCCTCAGTCCCGGCATGCCGCTGGCTTCAGCGTCCCGCTGCTCATCGTCATTCTGGTGTTCTTGACCTTGGCTGCCAGCTTCTTGCTCATCTTGCCAGGGATTCGTGGCCATTCGGTAAGTGGGTCTGGGGGCGTCATAGTTTGTTTCTGGAGGACCCAGGACAGATAAAGACTGCAGCAAGGACCTCCATGGAATATCAGACAAGCACAGATGGGGCAGACCCAGAAGTCTAGTGCAGCAAGCACCCGTTTCCAAGGACGGGGAGAGGTCCCATTCTAGACATCCTAGAGACTGGCCCCGTGGGTCATTCAGGAGGCTGCTGTAAAGAGTAGGTACCCACCCTAACCGGTTTGGCTCAGTGGATAGAGCTTCCGTCTGCGGACTCAAGGGTCCCAGGTTCGATTCTGGTCAAGGGCATGTATTTTGGTTGTGGGCTCATACCTGGTAGGGAGTGTGCAGGAGGCAGCAGATCAATGTTTCTAACTCTTTATCCCTCCCCCTTCCTCTCTGTAAAAAATTCAATTAAAGAGAGAGAGAGAGAGAGAGAGAGAGAGGGAGAGAGAGAGAGGGAGAGAGAGAGAGAAGGTACCCACCAGGGGCCCTTTCAGTTTATGTGCTTTCTAACCTCCTTGCCTCTCCCCCCTACTGCAGCTCCATTCCTCCCACTCCCATTCACCTCTCCACCAGAAGGACAGAAACTAGCAGCTCAGACTGCTGTGTTTCCTTGTGTGCTGGGTATATGGATGCCCCTATCCTAAGGATTCGGACACTTCCACACAGGCTCCCACCTCTCTCCAAGAACCCAATTTGTTTTTCAAGTCTCAGAGCACCTAGCCTCCCTGGGTCTTGTCCTGCACTGGTTTCCTAGGAAACCAAGGAATACCTGAGGGGTTGTGTTCATACCTCTTCACCTTGGCCACCAAGCCCAGGGCCTCCTTCTCTTGGGGGAGGTGACCCTTCCCTGCTTAGCACTTCTGGACTCACTGAGCCTTTCCAGGGCAGTGACCTGAGCAGGAGGTGGAACCAGGCCCAGGAGCCAGGTAGCTGGGGGTGGGGTGGGGGATGGGAAGAGGAGGATATAGGTTGCCGGAGAGCACCAGGCAGGGAGAGAGAGCAGATTCCAAGGTGGACTGGGAAATGGGGTCGGGGAGATGCAAGCACAAGGTCAGAAAACATCAGAAATGCCAGTGGCTCAGAGGGACTTGAAAGAAAAGCAAGCCTAACTTCAGCCTCAAAACACCAGGAATGTGACCGGGAAAGGACTTGCGGCAAGAGGGGGCAGTTGCAGGAGCACTAAACACCCAGGTGGCATGGGGACTCTGGTTGAACAGTACCCAGGCCTAACCCGTGCCTGTTCCTGCAGCGCTGGTTCTGGCTGGTGAGAGTTCTCCTCAGTCTGTTCATCGGCGCAGAAATCGTGGGTGAGTGCGTGATGCGACCCATGGGGAGAGGACCTGGGGCGGGGAAGGAGGCCGGCAGAGGGCACCTGGGAAAATGGAGAACTGGGCTTTCCCCCTCCTCTGTCCATTCTCCAGCTCTTTGTAGTGCCCACTCTCCGGTTCTCACCATGTAAACCATATTGGACCTCCACCCCCATCTGTCTTCACAGTATTCCTCCTTCCATCACCACTCTCCCAGTTCCATCTCCCCAGTCCTCCCCCTAACCGCCCCCTTCCCCCTCCTCACAGCGGTGCACTTCAGTGCGGAGTGGGCAGTGGGCAGAGCGAACGCCAACACATCCTACAAGGCCTTCAGCGCAGCCCGCGTCCGAGCCCTTGTGGGCCTGCACGTGGGCCTGGAGGGGATCAATATCACACTCACAGGTGAGCGGGCTGGCGATGCGAACTTCTAGGGAGAACAGACCCCATGGAGGGGTTGGGGGTGGCGGGAGTGTGTGTGGGGGGAAGGGGGGCATCTGCAGAACCTCTCAGGTCTCAAGGGGTCACAGAACTCATGGTCCTCTTGCATTTGCGTGTTCCCCAACCGTGGCCAAACCCGTTTCTCTCGTGCCCCCGCTTTACTATCCGAATCCACTTAGTTTCCGGGTCCCTATGACCCCGCCGCCCTCCGCAGGGACCCCAGTGCAGCAGCTGAACGAGACTATCGACTACAACGAGCAGTTCAGCTGGCGCCTGGGCGAGGACTACGCGGAGGAGTACGAGGAGGCGCTGGAGAGGGGGCTGCCCGACCCGGTCCTCTACTTGGCCGAGAAGTTCACCCCGAGCAGCCCCTGCGGCCTCTACCGCCAGTACCGCCTGGCGGGCCGCTACGCTTCCGCCACGCTGTGGTGAGTGCTCGCGCGCGTGTGTGCCTGTGAGTGTATGAGTGCGCGCGCGCGCATGTGTGCGCACGTGCGTGTGTGTGTGTGTGTGTGTGTGTGCGCACGTGCGTATGTGCATGTGTGTGTGCGAGGGTGTGTGCGCGCGTGTGCATGTGTGTGCGCGTTTGCGTGTGTGTGTGTGTGTGTGTGTGTGTGTCTGTGTGTCTGTGTCCAATGCGCTCAGATGAGTATGATCGCCCCTCGGATCAGAAGGTCAGGACCACACAGAGCCTCCTCAAAGGCTGGGATCCAGCTACACCCTTGGGGATTCCCCCTGCACTTCCGCCACGCCACCCGGGGTTTGGGGCTGGGGTAGGGACCCGGAGGCTGCAGATCCGCGGGCCGGGAGGAGCAGCTCGCAGCACGCCGTGTCCCCGCAGGGTGGCGTTCTGCCTCTGGCTGCTCTCCAACGCGCTGCTGTCCATGCCCACGCCGCTGTACGGGGGCCTGGCGCTGCTGGCCACCGGCGCCTTCGCGCTCTTCGCCGTCCTGGCCTTCGCCTCCACCTCCGGCGCGCCGCTCTGCCAGCTGCGCCTGGGCGCCTCCGCCATCGCCAGCCACTACGGCGCCGCCTTCTGGGTGACGCTGGCCACCGGTGAGGACAAGCGGCGGCCCGGGCGGCGGGGGACAGGGACGGGGTTGACACCGGTTGCGCGCTTTCCAGTTTGAAGTGAGTTCGTCTGCATTGCTGTTTTGCCCCTCTCGATAGTTCGATAGTTCGGAGAGGCAGGCATTGTTGTACCCATTCTGCAGAAGGGTGTGGCACATTGCCCAGTTAGCACTTGAACCCTGTGTCATGCAATCAGTATTAGAGGGCCTCGTGTGTGTGTGTGTGTGTGTGTGTGTGTGTGTGTGTGTGTGTGTGAAGAAATGGGAGGGGTGGCTCCGTAGAGGAAGAGGGCAGGCGGGTTCTGTCCCGGAGCCTGACGGCCCCTTTCCTTATGCGGGCGCCGCCGCAGGCGTCCTGTGCCTCTTCCTAGGAGGGGCGGTGGTGGGCCTCCACTACGCCAGGCCCAACGCGCTTCGCACCTTCTTGGACCGAAGCGTCAAGAATGGCGGTAACCAGGCGAGAGGGGACTCTGCTCTCAGCCTCAACAACCCATTCTACAAGCAGTTCGGGGCCTCGGATGCATCGATCAGTACTAACCTGTGAAGGGACTCCAGCCTCCGACACCTACTCCGCCTCGGTCCCCGGGCGCAGAACTTCAACCCAGCAGCCCTTGGGGGCTCTACCGCCTGGCGGGACACTACCCTGGGGTGCTCCTCCTTTCTGCAGTGGGTGGCCTCAGGCATGCACCTTGCACCCAAGTCTCCCAAGATGAGCTGCAAATAAATGTGTCCCCCCCCTTTTTTTTTAAACGTTTCTCCGTTCATTTCCATGGCTCCTCCAGATTCTTGTGGGACACGCGCCATCGAGAGACTTCGCTGGGCTGCAGGCAGCCATTGAACATTTTCTTTGCCTTGCCCACCCGGATTCTCTCCAGCTGGAGAATCCAGATTCCAGAGTAACCCAGGAAAACATCTGGGAGAAGGGCGCCCTCTAGTGAGCTCAGAGGAGATCCAACCAAAGACAGCATGTTCCTGAGCCACCCCCAGGGGATGATAAGGGCGCGGTGACCAGACAGCTCACCCTCCCACTGACACCCCCAGTGGGATCCCCCTCCGCTGGCCCAGCTAAGTGAGCTAAGAGGGAATGGCGTCTTGGAGTTTATTCACTAATTCCAGTTTATTCATTATGGCAGTGTTTCCCAAAGTATGGTACGCATACCCCCAGGGGTACGGGAAGAGTTTGGTGGGGGTACGCGTTGCACCCGAGTTTGGTGGGGATATGCACTGCACCGTGCTTAGCTGCGCCTAATTCTACGTTCTCATGACTGTGAGGGGTACTCAGCGTTATGAAAATTATAGAAGAGGTACACATATGTCAAAAGTTTGGGAAACACTGCACTATGGAATGGTGTTGAGGTCCAAGGTAGATGTCAGCAAGGCATAAAAATGTAAATCCTGGGATTTTTATAAAGGTCCTTGGCAAGTCTTACAATTTTATTTAGCAAAATTGAGAACTGAAACTCAAAGAGAATGTGGCACAGTTGGTTAATATTAGGCCTAGGGTATGAAGTTTGGTTTCCTCTCTCTCCAAGTCTCTTTCATTGTACCAAGAGGTCACACAAGCTGGGGAAGTAAAGGAAGAACAAAGAGGACCCAGGAAGAAAAAAAAAAGAAAAAAAAAGAGGTGCAGGTGCAGAGGGATGAGAGGGACCACAGAATCACACCGTAACTGCGCCCTGCACCATATCATTATGGGGGTGATGCTAGGTTTCAATAAATGGAATCTGGAACAGGCAAAGCATTAAAAAAAAAAAAAGGCAGGGTTGTTGTGTGGAAACATTTGGTCTTACCAGGTGACAAGGTTTATGGGCAGTTCCACTATCTGTTCAGCACCTTAGGTCCTTTCTATTCTTTTGTCAACATTGATAGAATCTCCTTTTTTGACTCCACCTACAGACCGGAGCTGGAGGGCTGATACAACCCATTCTATGGGCCCTTCTGGAGGGAGGTTAGGGGGGCTCACAGGAGGTCTGGAATCACGTGGGAAGTCTGGGTGGCCACCATGGATAGGAACCTCATAGGGCAGGGTCGGTCATTCTGGGTGGCTCCTCCTTACAGCATGCCTGGGGGGAAGCCTCTGACAGAGGAATGTCCTGGGACTCAGGACTCTCAGCGGTGGACCGGTAGCGGGGGCTCAGGAGTCCCCCTTCTTCAGGATTCCACTCCAGCCCAGGGTTCTCCCCTGCACTCTGATTGAAGAAAGCCTTCAGTCTGTGGGGCTTCGTCCTGTGGGCCACCACCATGGCCAGGCCCAGCAGCACACAAAGCAATCCTGGGAAGGAGGCAATAGGTGTCTTGTTTAGGGAGGACAGCACCCTCCCAAGGACATGTTCTCCTAAGAGCATCAGAACGACTCTGACGGAGGCCTGGCCTCCTGGCTTCAAGGCAATGTGGGCTCAGAGAGGCGGTTGTGAGTTTTGGACTGTAAGCCAAATGCTTTCAATTATATCCGAGGAGAGGAGAGGAGAGGAGAGGAGAGGAGAGGAGAGGAGAGGAGAGGAGAGGAGAGGAGAGGAGAGGAGAGGAGAGAATATGGATCTGAAAAGACAAAACCCTGAGGAAGGGCAGGGCATGAGGAGGAGGCTAAAGGCAGGAGGGACACACAAAGTGGGTGGGGCAGCAGAGGACTATAAAACTGCAGGGCACTTGAAGGTTATGTGAAACAGAGACAGAGAAGGGTTCTAGGAATGGGGGAACACAAAGAAAAATGCTTGGGGGAAGTGGGAGGGGACATGAGATTAAAATATTTGGGAAAGAGTTGGACAAAAAGATAGGGGCTGAGGCACTTGACAGTGAAAGAGAGAAGATGAGGGGGAGGAGGCATATACAAAAAGAGAGGGGACGTGAAACTGGGGAGAGAAACCCCAGAGATGAGGGATTTAAGAGGAATGGGGCTTTCAAGAAGGGAAAGGCATCCTGGCCCCCAGACCTTCAACCTCCCCCTGCCCCAACACGATGGTCCCTGATCCTCCCTCCTTGGCCCCGAGCTCTCCAGCGCCTGTCTTCAGGGCTGAGCCTCACCTGTGGCCAGCGTGATCCAGAAGGCAGGTCCACGGTGGAAGTGCAGCACAGCAGTGCCCATGCGCAGAGGACAGGGTGGGATGAGCGGTGTGGCCATGGAGAAAAAGATCAGTCCCAACAGCTGGAAGATGCCCGTGGCAAGCAGCATGTGGCAACCGTACACCAGCACAGGTATGGACAGCATCACGTTGGCCAGCAGCCAGCAGAGGAATGCCACCCTGGAGAACCAGGACCCCCGTGAAGGCTGACCTGGGCACCTCTACCTTGAGGGCTCCAGATGGAGGCTCAGGGACCCAAGGATACCCCAACGATGTGAGGTAGGGATTTCTGCTTTGGGATTCCCAACTGAGTACCACCTTCCTCATAGGAATTGCAATATAAGGTGGGGGAAAGGGGTTGAGGGGGAGGAAATGGAGAGGAGATGGCTAGAAACCCTGTTCCTGGGTCTAGAGCAATAGGGCCTCCATCCCACCCTCACCACAGAATAGCCGAGGTGTAGTGTCCCGCCAGGCGGTACTGGCCATGCAGGCCACATGGACTGGTCGGGGTGAACTTCTCAGCCAGGTAGAGCACAGGATCCGGCAGTCCCTTCTCCAGCGCTCTTGCATACTCCTCAGCATACCTCGCCCCTAGGCGCCAGGTGAACTCCTCGTTGTAATTGATAGTCTCATTCAGCTGCTGCACTGGGGTCCCTGGGAAATGGGGCAGCTGTGCTCAGCAGGGACCCAAGGGGCATTTGCCGGGGTAAGGGGCTCACCACAATGGGCAGAGGGACAGGAGCTGGTCTCAATGAAGAGAAGGCAGCTTCCAAGGCCGGGGAATTTCCCTTCCTACCATCCCCGTATCTTGCTCTTTAGACCACACCAAACTAGAGCCCAAAGACCCCGAGCAGAGCTTTCCCCTCCCTCCCCGGCACAGCCCTTCCTCACCTGTGAGGGTGATGTTGACGCCTCCCAGCCCAACATGGAGCCCCACATCAGCGCTGATCCACTGGGAACTGAAGGCCTTGTAGGAAGTGTTGGTGCTGACCTGGCCCACAGACCACTCAGAACTGAAATTCACAGCTGGGGTTGGGGAGTTGGACATATGGGAACTCAGGGAGTTCCGGGCATTGCTGAGTTAGAGTTAAAGGGAGAACCACCAGGGGACCTTGCCTGTTTTGCTCATAATTGTATCATATATCCATTAACTGGCCTAGGGTCTGGCTCATGGTTGGTTTGCCAATAATGTGTGAGATAAATCCTAGATTTCCCTTGGTGGTGCTCCTCTTATCCCTCCTTCCCTTTCTCTTCCTGTTTAGAGAGAGAAACTCAAGCAGCTGAGGGAGGAAAACATTAATGTAATAAACCATGTCGGGCAAACACAGCTTCAGCTTTGGGACTTCATCTCTTCTACTTGCCTAATTGTCAAAGCAAAGCAAGCGGTCCTCCCCCTTCCATTCCCTCCCTCCAGTATCCAAAGGCCTTTTCCCCCACAGACATTCATTTTGATCTGCTTTCCTCTGAATAAAAATGTTATGAAGGTTGGAGAGGTGGGTCCAGCATGGTTTCCCAGGGCCCACACCCCTCTAAGCAGGGGTAAAAGTGAGGGGACATGCCACAGTGAGGGACGCATGTGGACAGGGTGTGGAAGACCACCTTGAGGCAGAGGCTGCCCTGAGGGAACACGGAGACACCAGACCAGAGGCTGAGGGAACCAGATGGGACAGAGGCACTGCCTGAGGCAGCTGTGCTTCACACTCACCCAGGAGCACAGCCCCGATGAACAAGCTGGTCACCACCCGGAACAGCCAGAACAGCCTCTGAGCCATAACAGGGTGGGTGGGTTTAGGAAGGAGTACCCTCTCCCAAGTCCACCCTTCCTCTTTCCAGCCTTGGGATTACTCGGTGGATGGAGGTCAGAGTGCCTGGCAGGCACATAATCATCTGTTGAATCAGTGAGTGGGGGAGCTCTCTGCTGGGTGGAGGTGGGTGTAGGGGACGTTGGGGCGGGGGAGTTGCTTTCTCAGGACTGACGCCTGTTTCCTGAGTCTAGTTATTTATAGTGAGAGAGTATGGCCCCCTCACCTACAGGCCAAGGTGTCTCTGGGGCCCTGGACCCCAGGGCTGGGTTTGTTTCTTACCATTTTGCCCCGAATGCCAGGCAGGATGATGATGAAAGTGACAAGTGCAGTAAGAAAGATGGTGATGATGATGGCCAAGGTGGTGTCCATTGGGAAGGTTGGCTTGGGGCCAGGATAGAAGGGGAATGTGTGTCCAAAAGCAGCCATTTTGGTGGGGTTGTGCAGGGAAGGCAGATGCTGTACAACAAGGATAGATGTTTACTGAGTGCCCTGTGTGCCAGGCACTGTTCTTGGTGCTGGAGATACAGCCAAGAATAAACCAGATCAGGCTCCTCTTCTCTGGAGCTCACCAGGCTCCACTGTTACCGCCATTCCACTGCCCCTCAGGCCCCCACCCCCCATGTTCTGGCTGTGAAAGGATGAAGGTCTCGGCAATAAGTCTCTGTGGTTCCATGTTCCCTTCCTAATCTCCAGGCCCCTAAATCAGTGCTGCCACCCCCTGGAGGCTTCTCTGCTTCCTTTGGCACTATCTTAAGAGACACAGTCCTTTTTCTTTGTTTGTTATCTCCCTCCAGGCCTCCAGACATACCACAGAACATAAAAAGAGCTATATTTACTATCAAGCGAAAGCATAAGGGTGAAAGATAGTACAGATGACACAAATTTTGGTTTTCCTCCTCAGTCCCCAAAGGAACAAAGGTCAGACAGCTCTGCTAAATATATGATCCAACTATATTATCAGAGGGCTGATTTCCAGACCTGGCACTGCCCACACCAGTCTGTCAGCTTTCTCAAGTATCTGGCTCCAGCTCTGACTACTCCAGGACAATTGAGCTGAATTGAATTCACCTCAATAAGCACTGAAGAAATACCTGCCACCCACAGGCATGGTGCCAGGGCCAGAGGCCAGATGTCCTTTTACTGCACACATCATCAACCGCAGTCTTCCTTCTTGACTTAAATTTCCAGGCCTTGTTTCAGCTCAAACTCTGGCTCAGCTCTTCTCTGCCTGTCCCCTGATCTCAGAGCTAGATTTACTCTAATTTATCCCTTTTCAGACAAATAGTGTGTTTTATTAAATCCAGACAGAATGGATTACAAGACACACCATTACTTTATGAAAAAGAAAGAAACTACAAATAAAACCATGACAGCCATTGTTGGTAAGATACACCTCAATTTCAGAGATGTCAAAATGTGAGAATAAAGTACATTTTACAATCAATGATTCCAGCTCTGCTCATTTCCCTGAGTGTGATCTATACTGGGATCTTGGTTTGCACAGAAGGCTCCATGCTTTATAGTCTGATTAGAGTACTGGTGCATGAAATTCATGCATGGAGAGGGGGGGCGGGATGAAGGGAGGGAGAATCCTTCAGCCTGGCCTGCACCCTCTCCAATCTGGCATCTCTCAGGGGATGTCTGACTGCCTCTCACAATCTGGGACCGCTGGCTCCTAACTGCTTGCCTGCCTACCTGCCTGCCTGATCACCCCTAACCACCTCTGCCTCATCCCCCATCTGGGACTCAGGATTCCCTCCTCTAGGTGATTGCAGACACCCAGGACCCAGGTTTCCCTCCCTCTGGCTGGCTGCAGGCACCCAGGACCTGGGCCAGCTTGACCCGGGCTGCGGCTGCAGGCACTCGGACTACGGGGCAGGCAGCTTGTCTCTGTCCCAGGCTGCAGCCAGGCTGGTCCCCATTCCTTTCTCCCCAGTCTGATGGTGTGAGGGCGCGACAACCATTTGCATATTACCTCTTTACTATAAAGGATGAGAGTGAAAAAACAAGCTTTGGGGTTAAGTGTAATAGCTCTATGTTTGATTTCCACCTCTGACTCTTATAAGTTACTTGACCTCTACAGAGAGTTTTATTTAAAAACTAGAAGCCCAGTGCATGGATTTGTGCACCAAAGGGTTCCTCGGCCTGGCCTGCACCCTCTTGCAACCCAGGACCCCTGGGGGACTGTTGGGACCCCATCAGTGCACAAATCTGTGCTCTGGAACTCTAGTATGCATATAATATCTTAGATTAATCTCTTCCCTCTCACCTCCCCCTTCCCTCTGAGATTCATCAGTCTGCTCAATGTTTCCATCATAGCTACCAGTCAAACAGTGGAATGGTGGCATAGGCTTTTATATAAATATAGAGACCCAGTGTACAAAATTCATGCACAGGTAGGGTACCTAGGCCTGGAAGGCAATCAGGGCTGATCTGTGGGGTGACCAGCAGGGTGATCACCGCTGCCCCCACCTTGCTCACACCTATCTTGACCTGCCTCACAGCTCGCCAGGTCCTCCCCACTCCCTCCCGCCATCAGTCGCTGTCTCGATCTCATCAGGGCCCATTGGTGCCCATTGGGGATGATAGTGCCTCCACTGCTGACTGCTGCCAGTGCTGCATCAATGATGCCCACCATGTTCCATGCCATCCCCTGGTGGTCAACACATGTCTAATTCCCAGTCAGATCAAATTGGTTGGTAGAACTCCCGCCCATGGGGACAATTTGCATATTAGCCTTTTATTATATAGGTGGGGGGTGATAATAATGTTTATATCATAGGGTCATTATGGATATAAAATGAGACTGTGTATGTAAAGTACTAAGAATAGTACCTGGAACAGAATATCAATACATGGAAGCTACCATTTTGGGAAGGAGATGACATTCTATCATTTCATTTATCTCCAATCCTTTTTGGAGAGAACTGGGCTGGAATCAGTTCTGGGTCTGGTTCCAGTTCTTTGATGAACAATTTAACATTAGGAAGGCCAGCGACAACTTCCCCAGTCCTTTGTTTCTTCATCTACGATTAGATATGATGAGCTTCTAGCTCTAAATGCTGTGATTCTCCTACAAACATTATAGCCCCCAGACTTCCCTTTTCCTTCTGGGCTGGGTATTTTCTTAACTTGTCAACTCTCCCATCCCAGGGGAATGAGTATCTCTTTTTCTTCTGGGCTCTGACACCAACCCACCCTGCCTTCACCACCACCTTCCTCATAGCTTATGCTTCTCAAATCTATGTTTCTAAGTAGACCTCTTATTTGGGCTCCAAACACAACAGAGATAATTACCCCATGGGCTTTTTCACTTGGATATTCCATGGGTGCCTCAAATTTAACAGGTCCAAAAACTGAATTCACTGTCTCTATTTTGCTTTTATTTTTTTTAAATCTTTTTGGTCATCACTCCATTGATCAAATAAAAGAGAGACATGGAATATCTTACTTCTTAAATATTTATTGAAACCATCCATGCATTTCCTTCCCCACTGCCTTTGCCCTAATTCAGCCTCATCCTATCTTGCCTGGTGCCAGAACGATATTTCTAACAAGCAAATATAATTATTTCAATTTTTTTGCTCTGGGTAAAATCTAATCTCACTATCACATGGAAAGTCCTTTGTATTCTGGTCCCACCTACCCTTCCATCTCCATCTTTCATTCAGCCTAATCTCCAGCCACGCTGAGCCATTGGTCTTCCTCGGAATCTGACATGCTCTTTCAAGCCTTCGTGCCTTGTACGTGCTATTTCCTCCGCTTGGAATGCTCTTACCTTCTTGGCAAACTCCTTTTCCCTTTTCAAGTCTCAGCTTGTGTTAACTCCTCTGTGAAGGATGCTGTCAAGTCTACCGGTATGTGGATGTTCCTACCTCTAAGGTTCTGATTGCATTTTGAACACACCTCCGTCCATGATCCCAAAATCAACATATAGTCTGTTTGAACATATCCCTCTCTTTTAGCTTTGAATATCCTTATTCCATCTTTGCAACTCCTGAACATAGCATATACTAGTACTAATCAGTCTGTGGATCAAATGAATGAATATTATGAACTGGTTCCTCCCTGTGCAGGCAGCATCTTCTGTTGGAACACAAGAGGGCGCTATATTCCCTCATTGTCATTAACATTAATTTGAGTTCTCACCAATATAGGGCTAAGGACTAGGCAGGAAGGGATTTGACTAAACATGTCAATTTTTAATGCTTTCACAAAATTTTCAGAGAGTCTCTCCCAATGGAGAGTCTAAACCATGAATGTTCATTTTTAATTGAATCTGAAACAGACATTTGAATTCTAACTGAACATGAGTAACAGAATTTGTGGATTAAATTATTTTGTAAAATATGTGATAGGGATATTTATTTTATTTTTTAAAATATTTTAATTGATTTCAGAGAGGAAGGAAGAGGGAGAGGGAGAGAGACAGAAATATCAAAGATGAGAGTGAATCATTGATCAGCTGCCTCCTATATGCCCCACACTGTGGATCAAGCCCACAACCCAGGCATGTGCCCTGACAGAAAACTGAACCATGACTTCCTCGTTCATAGGTCAACATTCAACCACTGAGCCATGCTGGCCAGGCAACATTGCCTAGTTTTTAAAGTTAATTTTTCATGATCCTGATCTTTATTTGATTTTCATTATTTAGCTAGCAGGCCTCTCCTGCATGAAAAGGTGGGACTAAAATGAAAAGTCCCCACATCCAGCAATCCTGCTTTTCCTATGAAGCTTATAATTTCCCTTGGAACACCTTCCTCCCAGATTTGCCAAGAAGGTCTGGAAGTAGAATTTCTTCTAATTTGATAAAAATCTCATGTCATGCCGGGACCGGTTTGGCTCAGTGGATAGAGCGTCGGCCTGCGGACTGAAGGGTCCGGGTTCGATTCCGGGCAAGGGCATGTACCTTGGTTGCGGGCACATCCCCAGTAGGGGGTGTGCAAGAGGCAGCTGATCGATGATTCTCTCTCATCGATGTTTCTAACTCTCTATCCCTCTCTCTTCCTCTCTGTGAAAAATCAATAAAATATATTTTAAAAAAAAAATCTCATGTCAGTCTTCACTTACCCCACTTCTCCCTGAGCTCACCACCATGATTGGTATATAAACATAATGTACACTGGGTGGCCAGATTATTATAATCTCTGAATGCATAATGATCTGGCCACTCAGGGTATATCCTATATAATAAAAGGATAATATGTAAATTGTCCCCTTGACCAGAAGTTCAACCAGGAGGCAGGCCAACCAACCACCCATGTCCCTTCCCCCTGGCCAGGCTGGCCAGACCCCACCCATGCATACGAATTCATGTACCAGACATGTATACACACACACATATTGAGTGGTCAGATTATTATGCATTCAGAGATCATAATAATCTGGTCATTCAGTGTATATTGTTATTAATAAATACTAGGAACAATCAGATATACAACTATACATTCATATAAACAGTAGACAGGCACAACAAGGAAGAAGTTCTCAGTAACAGACATCTAGACACCAAACCCCTGCACCAGACACCCCTGTAACAAAACTGGGGTACTTTTTCACTGGGGCAGACCAATCCTCACACTTTGAGGTCCTCCTTTATTACTTGATCTGGAAAGATGAGTAACACCTTTTCCCTTTCTGAGGTTCCTTAAAATATTGAAGCATTTCTCATACTAAGTTGTATTCCAGACACATCCTACCTACCTTAGGATGAAAAGAGACTCCCATGTATGGATGAGGGGCCAGCAAGAAATAGTTTCAATTTTTAGGAAAACTTATCCTACTACAAGCTATAGTCCCCAGCATTCAAAGTTCTTAGATGCTTTCTTACTGCTCTGTAGCCTGTCTTAGAGCTTGACAGGAATTTCTTCCTGAGTCTCCTGCCACCTCCCCCATCTCTGGAACCCATAGAGTAAGGACTATTAATTCTCTCTACAAATAAAGAATTGGTCACATATCTGGAGTTGCCAAGAACTCTCATTGGTGATACACAGCTACTATAATGTGATTGATGGCTTATTTCTCTGGTTGGGGTTGACCCCATTAAAAGTTTACCGCCCTGCCAAAACCGGTTTGGCTCGGTGGATAGAGCGGATAGAGCGTTGGCCTGCAGACTGAAAGGTCCCAGGTTCAATCCCGGTCAAGGGCATGTACCTTGGTTGCAGGCACATCCCCAGTAGGGGGTGTGCAAGAGGAAGCTGGTTGATGATTCCCTCTCATCGATGTTTATAGCTCTCTATCCCTCTCCCTTCCTCTCTGTAAGAAATCAATAAAATATAGTTTTTAAAAGTTTACAGTCCTGGCTAAGGAGACCCTGTCAGAAACTCCTGTCCCCGCCTCTCTTCTTCAGGAACGTGTGTGGGCATGTGTACGTGCGTTGTTGCACTAAAGGAAAGATTAAATGGAGAATCAGAACAAGATCTGAAAAGGAGGTTGAGATAAGGATTTCCAGTAAGGACTGAGGTAGTAAGGGCCCAGGGGTACTGAATCATACAAACCAAACTACCCAGACTTTAGCTAAGCCAGGATAAGGACTGGATGTCTGTAAGTCTTGTGGCATTTATGGCCTCACAAGATTTTTCTTGCTTCCTTTTAGT